CTTATCAGCTTGTCTAAATTCTCTTTATCTCTCAATGCTTGCCTCCAACTTTTTCTTCCATCTGGTCGTTTATAGCAATTCCTAAGGATACTTTTATTTCTTCATTTCATATTTCTGTAGCCTCAGTAAAATACATTTTTCCCCTAATAATATGTCACATTGTATTACTCTTTATGGTGATAATAAGCCCTCTCTTGTCTGCTCATTTAGCTCTTGAGTTTCCTGAGGAAACAAATACACTGTATTTATGTTTGAAACCTCAGCACCTTGCAGTGTTCTGATATACTAGTTGCTTGGGATATATTTATTCACTGGTGGTAGATTTGGTACTTTACATGAAATAAAGACTCTTCAAGGCCAGCATATTTTTGTGTTCCCCTAAATTAAGTCTCTCCCTTCTTTTGGGCTAGGTCAATCAAAACTGGTCTCAGGGGTCTTTTGGAAACAGAAGGAGGAAGACCATTTGTTTTAGCAAAAAGAAAGACAAGGTCAGGTCAAAAGTGCCCAAAGGCAAATTTGCCATTTAAAACCAGCAGTCCCATTCCGGTGGATGAAGTCCTCAGCAGTCTCTATCAAGCACTGCTTCCCGGAAGTCAGGCACTGGGTAGCTCTCAGGGCCTCTGGCAAAGCAAGAGAGTTGTGGGGCAGAGGAGAGGGCAAGAAGAGGCGCTGAAAGGAACTGAAGGGAGTGGGCAGTGGAACACCTGCCCCTCTCTCTCATCACAAGAGGAATGGCTCTTTGAAAGAACTGTTGTAATTATGCAGCTACTTCAGGAGCTGTCCACATATGAGTCAGGGCTGCTGCTGGCCACTAAGCAGGTGACATCTCTACCTCTGCTATGACTGCTAGCTCACCCTCTGATTGCATGACTCCTTTGCTTTAAAAACTGTACAGAAAAAGTCCTTTGCCCAGTCATTTATAGGCTAAACTGAAGGCTAGGTGAGTCAGCCCTTTGGTAAAAGGAACTCTGGGACGTGCAAAATACAAGCAGGGCACGGATGAGATAATAAAAAGAGCATTTATGGACAACTTAATAGGTACCAGAACAAATATTAAAAGTGTAACGTTGTTTAATCTCTCTCCAACCGGTGAGGCAGGTACTACTTATTACTCTACAGAGGGTTAAGTGATTTGGTTAATGTCACATCACTATTCTGTGGCAGAACCAGGATTCCAGACCGCGAGCTTCAGTATTCCATGCAGTAGACAGGTGGTGACCATCTCTTTCCAAGCAAGATTCAGGACATGTGGCCTCAAGTGTATTAGTGCCCATTGGGTAAAGTAGGACTGGGCATTTACAATTAAGACTGTTGAGGAAAATCCTGACCAGCAGTCACTGGCCTTTAAATATCGGAAGAAAACTATGGATTATGTTTAAATTTCTCCTTACCTCTTTGGGAATAAGGAAATTATGTTGTTTATATTTGGAGTAGGCAATTAGCATCATCCTGATTGACCTATTGGCAGTTAAAAGTAGTTTTGCTGGAATTTTTCAAATCACTGATAAAAGTATTTCCTGATTGATTTGGTAGAGATTTATTGATGCTTCCAGCTATCGTTTCCCTTCATTTTAAAAGGGTCATCTACAGAAGATATTACATTTTGGTCATAATTAAAATTTTCACCAATTTTTGAAATATATATTGAGCTTATCTTCCCCCCAATCCCCGAGCATAACTCTATTATTAACCTACCGAGGTATTAGAGATGAACAGAAAAATACCGTCTCATGTAGTTACTTATAATTTTTGTATTCTTGGGTCAGATTTTACAAAGGAATTAAATATAAACAGACATATTTTAAACCTGTTTGCAGGGTTGTCTTTGTATGTGGAGGTGGAATAGGCAGATGTTTGGACAGTGTGATTTGAAAGTTTCCTATTTACATTATTTCTACCATTGCCCTGACACTCCGTCTGAAATTGTGCCCAATTTTCTGACTTCCTGTATAGGAAAGAAATGAAACAGTTTGGGTTAAAATATGGATGGGGCAAGTGGGAGATCTGAAGCTCTGCCAACTTGGTTTCTTCCTCAGTTTTCTATCTATATCCTTTTAATTGCTTATTGATTTATTTTTACACCATTTTTAAAACACTATGAGTAAGCAATTACCTCTTTTTACCAGGTCAATAGAATTAGGTCCTAAGAAAAGCTTCCATAGAACAGTAAGTTTTGATATGAAGGAATATGGCTTTTATTGAGCACCTGTGATATACCTGACACTATATAGGTGCCTGCCACAGCTTAGGGCATTTAAATCTGTAACAGGTCTGTGTGGTAGTGACTGAGATGGAAAGAGACTGTAGAATAGGGAGAACAGTAGTCTAAATCCTGAGTAGGATCTGTTCTCGAACAGGCCAAATGACCTACGTTGGACTCCTACGTTCACATGTAGATCTAACACCTCACTAATTCAAAGATGAAGAAAGGCTGATGTAGGGATTCTTAGTGTAATTTTATAGTAGCAATCTGCTTAGGTTTGGAGCTCTTAAGTGGTAGGACCAAAATTCATACCAATCCTCCCTATTCCAGGTTTCCTGACTCTAAAGTCAACAGCCCTTTCCTGGTACCTGGGGAAGAAGTATGAGGTAAGGGGTTAAAATGTGGGCTGGTATACCACATTACCTGGCTTCTCTTCCTCACTCCATCACTCTGGCTAGTCACGAACAACTCAGTTTCTGTGTGTCTCTTTTCTCAGAGGTAAATATGGAATTATTACTGATAGCACTTATCTTACAGTCTGTTGCAGAGATTAAATGCTTTAATAGATGGAATGGGCCTGGCATACAATAAGCCTTCAACAAGTTGAGCTTTTGTCACTGCATATTATTGTGGCAAAGATCAAGTGTAGAGGCTGCTCCTGCCCGGTCCTTAGATAGGGCTAACCTGGAGATCCTCGGTGGCTGCTGAAGCCAAGGGCGCAAGCTTCTTGGTCAGTAGTGAAAAGGGAACACTGATCCTGAAGAAGTCTTGCCCATTTCAATATTTTGCTTTGAAGTGGTCCTGAAGAACTACATTCTTACACCCCTGGCAGCTCTAAAGTAAGAGCAAATAGTGAGCCCTGATTGAGCTCATTCTTAAAATTATTATTAAAGGAAGCAAGACTTGTGTAAAGACAGGGATTTAAAAGTGGGGTAACAAGCTGCACATAACTGAAGCTAGACTTTTCTGTTCTGATGAACTGAGTTCATCCTTCTAGACACCTACGTAATTCAATTGATCCTGGACTGGAGTGAGTTCTATATCTCAAATAGGCAGAAAAGAAGCTGCTCAATAATTTTTACCCCACTCGCTTTTGAAATACAATGTGTTTTACAGACTGTCTTTCAAGGACAGGAAAAGTGCCTTCTGTTTTTTGAGGGAGAATGGGCATAATAAGCCACAGATCTCAGTATTATGCTACATTATTTATGAAGCTTTGATATTTTTTGGTTTCAACTATTTGAAGATTCCTTACTTTAAATGGAGATACAAGGAACAGATAGCACATGAAACCCATGCTAAATAGTAAATCTTTGTAAAATAATCCTAATCGTAATTATAAAGGCACAGTAGAATCTAATGATTAACCTGTATTTATCGAGCCATTACCATAACTCACTACATTAGTTGTTAAGGATGCAATAGTGAGAGAGATTTGGTCTCTGTCTTCATCATAGTTAAACGTACAAAGTGCTAGCATAGGAAATAATTCTCTGGGAAAACTATTGAAAGGCTCACTAAAGAGAATTTTACTAAGCTAAGCGATTCATCATATGATCACAAACTATGACTTCAATGTAGAAAAATGTGGTCATTCTCAGAAAGTAGAAAAGATGTCAAACTGGTGAGACCTATGGCAGTGAACTCTCAATTATCCCTGTGTCAATGAGCTACCTGACATGTCATTTGGCGGTGGCTCTCTCCAATCCATTGTACAATCTGCTGACATCTCACACCTCTCCCTTTCGCTACCAAGCCCATTTCTGAATCGTGCTGCCAGTCCAGGAGAAGGGCTAGTTTTCTCCTGTTTGCTACCGTGGGCATACCCGAATTATCCCATTTCCCTTTTGACATACTAATCAGTGATCACTTCCATTAGCGTGGAATATTAGTATGCTGGGCAGCAGCTTTTAACACTTTATAAGCAGCCCGTAAGCTGAGGTAGCAGTTGCTACTGGATGTGGAAGGGAACAAAGGCCACAGAGCAAATGGAAAAGAGCTTATATCAGGAAGAAGGGAATTGGTCAAATGTGGTTAAAGGGCCCTCCTCCCACAAGCTGCGTATCAATCATTTAAGCGCTACAGAATGATAGGCTCCTGAGAACTTCAGGCTGCAGAGAAGTTAAAAATTGTGTGTGTGTGTGTTTGTGTGTGTGTGTGCTTATAACGTATCTGGGTGGTTATATATGTGTATATACGTATGTAGGCATTTCTGTGTTTATTTTTAAGTGTGTATGAATGTATATGCTTGCTTATAAATATGTGTGGATATGTGTGGATATATTTGCATGTGCGTGTCAGACCATACAGGATGTCTTACAGGCAAGTAAGTGTAAGACTTCTCATACTCTTCACAGGCTGTCTCTTCTCACCCCCACCCCTGCACACCACCAAGAGACTGAAGCAGAAAGGATGCTTTGTGACCTGAGGCTGCATGAGAAAGTTTGCAGCTCTCTGAGGACATTCCAGCCGGGAACCTCATTGGTTCCTCGCAGGGTGGTGGGTTTTAGGAGTCTGCCGATTCCCCCAGGAAGAAGGGACCGCTGCTGACACGCACGGCTGAGGCCGCCCGCCTCCCAAACCCCCCTCCCCGCCCCTCCCGGTTCCTAAATCGTTCCCTGCCCGCATCCGCCGGTTCTGCAGACGCTGGCCAGGCCCGGGCAGGTTCGGCCGCGGCACGCACGGCCCGCGGGCTGGAGTCGGCCCGCCACGCAGGAGGGAGGGGAGCGCAGGGGAGCGGGAGGGCGGGGGCGGCGGGAGGCCATGCCTCCAGCTGCGGAGGTTGCCGCACAGCTGGAGCCACCGCGGTCACCTGCGCGGCGCCGTCGCCCTCGCCCTTGCGCTCCCGCTGCCCGGCCCGCGGCCGGCGGACTTTGCGGAGGGCGCCCGGCGTAGGCGGCGGCGGGTGTGGGCCGAGCCGGTATTTATAGCTCGGTGACAGCAGCCGCGGCAGAGACACCGCCTGTCTGTCTCGCCGCGCTTCCCAGCGAGGCCGTGGGCGCCTCGGAGGGCTGTGCCCGATCGTGTCCCGGCGAGCAGGCGCCCCGAGCCCGCGCGGCCCCCTCGGGTGAGTACGCGGCCCGGCGCTGGGCGCGCCTCCCCCGCCGCGCGGTGCGGCCGCTGCGGAGCCCTCCCGGCCGGCGGTCTGCCGCCGCGGTGCCTCCCCGTCCCTCCCTGCCCGAGAATGCGGAAGCAGGCGGGCACCCCGGCCCCGGATTCCCCCGGCCCCTGTCTTCTTCCCTTTCCCGAGGATGGCGGGCCAGGAGGCAGGGTAAAGTGTCTGGGAGGGGGCAGACCCAGCAGCCCTTCAGGGAAAGGGCAGAGGAGACTCCTAGGCGGAAGGCTTTTGAGGGGTAACCCTGGAACTCCTGAGCTCCGCGGGGGTACGGGACGTCTCCGCCACAGACCTTGAACTTTCCTCGCTTCACTAGTTCCGATGATAGGAATTGAGTAGAAGCTCTATCTGTCATTGGTTAATTAAATTAACAGGTTGCAGTTATGTTCTCCTTAAAAACAGCAACAGCACTTGAGTGTTTGTGTGTTTACTAACTTGATCATAACTAAATAAAACGATTTGTTGATACCCATTTTCGGAAATTCTGCAGGCCCACAAGTCTCTTTGAACCCATGTGATAACATTTCAGCTGCCATTATTCATTCTCCCAGTTGTGGAACAATAAACTGAGTGTGTGTGTGTGTGTGTGTGTGTGTGTGTCTGAGAGAGAAGTAAACATCACATGCTTATTTTAGTGTTTATGTGTCGATATGTCTCATGAACCAACATAATTTTTTCAGTAGAAGTATGTCGAATAAAAGTAATTATAAAAGATATATTGTTTGAAATCCACAGAAAGACTTCTAGGAAGATTTCAGGATTTGGTGGTGGTTTCAGAAAAAAAAAAAAAGTTCTTCCAATTTATGGAATATAAAGAGTAGTAGAATCACATAAAAGCTATTTTTTTATTGTTGTTGTAAAGTATTGAGCTTTTGCAATGTGCTTTCTAACTCAGATTGTGGATTTTGACATTTTGACTCAGGTATTTACTCCCCACCTCCACATCATCTCCATCTAATCCTTGTGATCAGAAACCAGTGCCTTGACTTAATTTGCTTCTTTAAAACTGCTAGTCATGAAAAAAAATAATTTCAGCTATGAGTGAATTTTATTGTATTCATTAACTCTTATTCTCTTTGGAGTTGTGTTTAGATTCTTTATCATAAACATATGTCACTGAAAAGGGGGTCTAAACAGTTTTAAAGAATTCATTGCTGATTATTTTTCAACTTAACGTGAAAAGGCTCATACATATTTTGCCATTTTAATGAAAAGTTGACAATGTCTTTGTTAGAAGAGAAACCCAGGTCTCCTTTGCTTTCAGGTTCCTGTTTGAAAGTGTGCAGTGGTTCAGTGCTTTGCTATCCCAAGGACTGTAGGATAAGAATGCGGGAAAGAAATCACTTAAAAAGTTGAAGAAAATGTGAAGAGAATGGCTAGGAAGTAATTTATGGGTGTGATCTTCCAAATTAGCTAGGGTACCACAAATACCATCCTGGTATATGCAAAGCCACTTACGGTGGTTTCATTGATTGACTTAAAAGGTTGCTTTTTATTTAAAAGGCTGTGTGGTTTCTTATATTGGACTGAAAGTGAGAAGTTCCAACTTCTGTTATGATTGATATTTGTATTTTTTAAAACCTGCATTAAGAACTTGTATTATGTAAAATGTTTTGTGCCATCTCCTCATGCCTGCCCTTTCTGCTAGCAATTCAAGGTAATATTTTAAGACCTCTTCTTACTGTAGGGCTGGTCCAGGCAAGTACATGTTTGATTTTTCTACCTTTCTGCCATTTCTCCTTTTAGAGGCTGAATATCCCATTATCTATAATCCTAGTACTCTTACTTCCTTCCCAATGGAACTCTATTTTGTATTCGATACTTCTCAGTGTAGGAAGCACAGTAGTATTAAGACTATTGACTTTGGTTCATATAGAGGTATTTCTGCCAATTGTTAGCCATGTGACCTTGGGCAGGTTATAACCTTTCTGAATCTGTTTCTTTACTGGTAAATCCAAAGGCTTGGTATAAGAACTAGTTGGGACAATGCATGAAAAGTGCTTGCCAAGAGCCCAACACATAAAAAGCACTCACAAATGTTAATTATTATTATGTTGTCTTTATCTGCTTCAAAGGGTGTTCATCTCAGGCAATGTCTTGCCCATTTCAGGAAATGGCAGTCGTTTCGGATCTTGCCCGCCCATGTCCACATCCAATCCATCACTACATCTTGTCAGCTCTTCCTTTCCAATGTATCCAGAAGCTGATACACTTGCAGCGGTCAGGCAGAGTGGCTCTTCTGCTGTGGAAGTCAGGTTGTGTCACTCTCCTGCTTCCCATCTCACGCAAGAGGAGAGTCCAGGTGCGCGGTGGCCTCCAGGCCCGACCGCAAGTGTCTGCTGCCTCCCAAACCTCGTCTCCTTTCATGCCGCCCTGCACCAAACCCTGTCCAGTCACACTAGCCCCTTGCTGCTCCTTACATGCATTCATTGTGTGCATAGCACAGGCCTTTGCAATTTCTTGTTCCCTCTGTGTAGATTACTTTCCCCCCAGATATCTGCTTGCTTCCCTCCCTTTTTCCATGTCTTTTTTCAAATGTCACCTTATAATAAGGCCTTCTTCCACTTCCTTTACACCTGATACTTTCTATTAACTTTCTCCTGCTTAATTTTCTCCATCAACTTATAACTTTCTAAAATGCATAGTATTTAATATTTCCCTGTGTAAAATCTGTTTCCCACATGAGACTATAACATGCAAGGCAACGGATTGTTGTTTGTTAGTAATCCTTGCGCATAGGCCAGTACCTGGCACAAATAGACAATCTGTAAATATTGAACAAATGAATGATGAATGTTATTATGGGATTAACAATTCTGGATTTCACCATTTTTTCTCTCTATGATTTTGGACAGGTAGCTGAAGCTTTCTGAGCTTCAATATTTGTAAAATAAGCCTATAATATTTCTTCTTTGTAGAGTTGTATTAAAAATCTTTTAACACTGAGAATAGCATATACAGTCACCCAATAAATGTAATATATAGTTGGTATTATTTTCACACTCATTTTTTAATGGAAGTGACCCAAAGTTATTATATTTTAACAATGGTTTTCATACCAGAAGTACCTGGAAGTGACCAGATACTTTACAAATGAAATCTCCTTTAGTCTTCATTACAATCCAGTGAAGAAAGTACTTTTATTAGGATTTTACTGGTGAAGAAATAGAATAGCAGAGAGGTTAGGGGTTTGCCCAAGGTCACAGAGCTAATGAGTAGCAGAGTCAGGCAGAACTGGACCGTATTCCCCTCACCGCATTAAGCTGCCTTTTGTAAAGCAAATGTTCCTAATACCTTTGAATCATTTTAATGACATTCTAATGGTGTGATTTTGCTGTTAAAAGCACTAAGAGGTAAAATGTGATGCAAATGTAGGCTATCATTTACCTTTTAAGGGAATAATATTAATTTAAAGCCCTGTTTCCCCTTTTGTCACATAATTCTGAAAGTGATTATATATTGGGGATTAAATGAAACGATTGTGAAAGTGTTCTGTTAATGGCAAAGAACTTCACCCGTATTAGTAGAACACAAACACAGCTGGATACTTGAAGAAAATAGCCTTAATGTTGTCTTGTACTAATATAGCCAGGAACTACCTAAAACATAGCTGCATATGTCACAAAGTGCACCCCATAAGAACTGGAGTACAGGAGGTCTTTTTAAAAATTATTATTTTTTTTAAAGAAATTGGATTCAGGGTGTGAAGTGATATTCATACTTTTGGTAGAATACAGGCACAGAGTACAGCCCTTTAAGAAGAGCTAGGAAGGGTTACCGTGAATTTTCAGACATAAATACCAAGGAACTTCATGAAAATTTGAGAGATAATAGGGCTCCACAGTGATAATGCTGTGTTCATACTATCATGTTAGGTGTTACCACATGCTAAGACGTGCATTAGCAGAGCAGTGCTTTGACTGCAGTTTCCTTGATTTGTAATAATGTATCTCTTGTATTGTTCATCAGAGACTTTTCCATACACATCCTTAAATATATCTTACTGTAAGTGATACACTCCATCTTGATCATACTTGTCATTGTGTGAAAAGTATTGCCTGAGGAGGGTCTCTATGGAGAAACATGACATTCATACCCCTGAAGTCCTTGTTTTCACTTATTTGTGAAGACTCTAATCAGGAAGGAAAGCCTGGTATTTTGGTTCAGTGAAAAACAAGTTATTGCAATAAGTGTTAGGGCATTGATGTTGCCTTGGTCTGGTTACCAGATCTTTTACTTAACTGTTGAAGTTGCCTCTAAATTAGTCTCCCCTCGCTCATCGTGCCTCATACCAATTGATCATTTCTCAAGACAGCAGAGAAATCTTCCCCAAACCCTGCTCCAGTCAACTGTATCACTCTTCTGCTGTGAAACCTTTGAGTCCCTATTTTCTCCTGAATGAAATGTAAAACAACACTTTTGTATAGTCCGCCTTCAGGTGACTCCAAATCATCCTTAACTCTCAGAAGATACCCGCAAGCACTGAGAGTTTCAGCCACACAGAACTATTGCTGCATCCCATACCTGTCCCAGGCTGTCTTTCCTGTGCCTTTGTTCAAAGTATCTTCCCAACCTACGTGTCCTTGTGTCCTTACCTCTTTCCCATTTTTCTTTAAATTCCTCTCCATTCTTAGCCTTCAGCACCAGGTGAACTACTGGCTTGTAGTAAAATGTGTGGCATTTCTAAGATCAGGTATAAATATTAGAACCTCTAGAGTTGGCAACCATGACTGAAGGCCTATGGATGACCAGACAGTGTATTAAAGCTTGAGCCTCTAGTTACCAATATCTTCATCACTCTATTATGGGAAAAGCAGAGGCTACCTAGATAGTGATAATGGCATGTATCTAATGATGTCATTGTTTAAAAAAGGGAATTAAATGGTGGGGATTTGTCTAGTCCTCAGAGTGTTTTCTGTGGGCATCATTGGAAAATCACAGCGTGAACATCAGTGATACATTACCATTCAGATCAACTCAAGTCTTTATACTGGAGAGGAACAGCTATCTGCAACATTTTTTTAAAGAATATTCTAATTCAGCCCTGGCTGGTGTGGCTCAGTGGATTGAGTGCTGGCCTGTAAACCAAGAGGCTGACCGTTTTACTCCCTGTTGGGGCACATGCCAGGCTGTGGGCGGGTCCCCAGTTGGGGGCGAGTGAGAGGCAACCAATCCATGTATCTCTCGTACATGCATGTTTTTTCTCCCTGCCTTCCTCCTCCTCTTCCCCTCTCATGTAAATAAATAAAAACTCTTTAAAAATATTCTAAGTCAGGTTAGGCCATGTAGACATTACATAGCCCACAAAGCAAGATTCTGAAGTTAAAACAATAATACAGTAAGTACATGTCAACCCTCCACAAAGCACTTGTTTAAAAAAGGATCAAGGTCATATGTATTCAGTGTTCGAAACTCTTCTGCCTTGATCGTATGTAAGCAGACGGAGGGGAGGTGTGGTGTGACTACAACAGAATCCCTCATTGGTTAGAGAAGCAACAAAGAAACCTCTTGACTGATACCCCTACCCAGCGTTGATGGCATGTGGGCATCGCTACTGCTCTAAGACTCGTTAGCTCTGAGATGATTTCTATGTATTTTCCTGTGGTGGTGATCTCTGGACATTTCCAAAGGTTGCGTGAGATTGGGTTGACAGCTGACCCATTCTGGCATCCTTGCATATTGAATGTCACAAAAAACGCATGATGTTCATTTTTGTTCTTGCTTTCTCTGCTCTTTTTGGTGTGAGAACCACACAGGTTTCTGCAGCTGTACTGGGTGATGTTAAAAAAAAAGAAAAAAGAAAGAAAGAGACTGGCCATAGTCACCATTCCTAAGTGTCTGAGCTGCAGTTCCTGGGAACAGATGTTTCAGAGTAGTCCCGCAGATCACAAGGGACTTGAAATTACTTAGAAGGTTTATGAATCCAAAGCCTAGTGACTGTGTGTTTTGCTGAATTTTATGGTCAATCCTTTTGTGTGTTTACATGGCTTTTCTAAAATACTTAAGTCTTCATTAACTTATATTGTGGGTTTAATTGACATTCATCAGCCTAGAATATTGGCTTGGGAGTTGGGAACGATGGAGCCCATTCTCAGATCTCCAGTGATTTAGGGTCATTTCAGGCTTTTCAGGCTTGTGGTTTGATCTTTTATAGAGAGAGATAGATACAGATGCAGAGAGGGTCCGGCACAAATAACGCCCCTTTTTATTACAAAATCATAAGCATGTAATTCTGTAACATAACAATATCACGCTCAAGCACATCCTATGACAGTTTAGGTGACATGTTCAAATTAAAACTATAAATTATTACACCTATATTATTACCCTACCAACCAAGCAGGTGTTACTTCTGCTGGACCCCGTATATAGAATGTATATATATTTTCCCCTGTGCTAGAGAAGTATGTATTGCAGAGTTAATATAATTGTTGCTAGAGAAGAATGTTTCTCCAGAAGGCATTTGAGGGGTGACGCCCGTGGGTTTGGGTCCTGGGTCTACCCTCTCGGGCAGAGAAAGTGCCTGGAGCTGATCTGGTTGCCTGCAGGGACTGGAGATCGGGGTTTGGGGTCAGACTTCCGAGGCTCAAATCAGAGTCTCCTCCCGGCTGACTTGGGGCAAGTTACATACCCTGTGTGGCCATCAGTTCCCTGCCTGTGCAGGAAGTGATGACAGCCTTTCAGAGGGTTGTTATGACAAAAGTGAAATGGTAACGCATGCAGACGCCCAACATTGAGCCTGAAGGGCTAATACTGTTGGCTTTGTAAGAATCCCTCTTTTTCAGTTCTAAATAAATTGGAGAAAGAAGAAAGAAGAATTGGCAGAGTGTGGTGAAATTTTGCCTTTAGTATGATATGTATCTTAGATTTCATTAGCTTTGTTATTGGGGGGAAGAAGGGAGATATAGCTTAGTCGGAGCGTCAAATAGGTGCATCAAAAATGAACCCCAGATTTAAACTTAATCACCCAGTCACAACCCTGGTGGACCCACACAAGCTTACTATGTTCTCTACATGCAGCCTGGCTCCCAGAAAGGAAAGAGAGAGGAGCTGAGCAAGACTTCGGAGGTGGGATCTAGACATCATTTTAAGAAAGCTTCTGTGCTTCCAGTGCACCTCCAGGTTAGGACCCAGTGCTGTAGGCATGTTACCTACTTGGCATTGCCTCTGTGCCTCTCTGTACGCCTGGGCTGAGCATGCTTGCCTTCATCACTTGGGGGAAGAAAAGGCGAATTTTCCAATCTTGTGCTTGGGTATCTACTGTGTGAGGCCTCCCTCCTCGCTTCCTTCCACAGTCACAGTTGGGCAATCCTTCCTATTGTACCATAGACTTAGCTAGTTCATAAAACTTATTCTGGGTTGAAATTGACAACTAAACTGTGAACATTTTTATAAAAGTCCATACACACACATACATTTGTTAATGTTTCGAAAAAGATCTGAAAGTATACCCATCAAATTATTAAGGGGTTCTAACTGGGGAGAGGGATTTGGGCAGAGGAATATGTGCTCAGTTAACTTCTACATTGCTTTAATTTTTAAATGAGTCTGTATTATAATTGTAACAAAAATAATCTCAGAGAGGAGAAGTAGTGCATTGTTTTTGCTTGCTGCATTTCCTCCTGAGGGGACTGCTACATGTCATCGCAGTCACCCCAGATTTAGAGAGAGTTCTGCCCTCTCGTGTTCCTTCCTCTCCCCTGTTCTTTTATTCTTCTTTGCTAAATCCACCTGTGATCATAGGTATTATTAGATAGTAGGGAAGGGATAATATTTACTTTCTTCAATCTCAGACTTGTCTTGGTGCTATAAGTAGGAACGGGCATCATCTTTTCCGAATAACTCTTTATTAAGTGATTATAAATCTGAATATGTAAGAGGAAGAGAGCAACTATTTGTTTTTCTGCTGTAACCCGATGTATCTTTTCTTACACAGGTAAACTACAGAATTGAAGTTTTGAAGGATGGGTAAAGACTTTCGTTACTATTTCCAGCATCCCTGGTCTCGCATGATTGTGGCTTACTTGGTGATCTTCTTTAACTTCTTAATCTTTGCGGAGGACCCAGTGTCTCATAGCCAAACCGAAGCCAATGTTATTGTTGTTGGAAACTGTTTTTCATTTGTAACAAATAAATACCCTAGAGGAGTTGGCTGGAGGCTTCTGAAGGTGCTTCTATGGCTACTCGCCATTCTCACAGGACTAATAGCTGGCAAATTTCTGTTCCATCAACGTTTGTTTGGTAAGTACCCATGAAATACAAGGTTAATAATTATTTGATTTCTATTCTCCAAAATAGAACTTTGTTATTTCTAAGTGCAAAATTTAAGATGTATTTCAATTTACCCTTCAGCATTAATTTGTTATACACTGTTGTAGTTAGGTTCTCCAACTATTCTCTGGTTAATGGTTTATTTTGCTAAGGCCTAAGGAAGATCATCATGTGGTAAAGTTAATACCACACTTCATTTCAAAAAATGGTTTTAGAGGAAAAAAATGAATGTATGTGTAATCTTATTTAGGAATAGATGAAAATAACCCTTTTCCCATAAATAGTACCTAATTATAATATTATAAATAAATCAAAATTGGCTTTAGGATATTTATTTTGAGCTTATTCAACCACAGAGCAGTATATTAGTAAGAAATCTCTTGGTAGTAAGAAACAGAAAAAAAAGACTAAATTAGTTTAAGATAAAAAGATAACTTATTGTAAGGATTTTGGGATGTTTCAGAGAGACCAAGGAAAGAATTTACTGTAATAATTGGGATACATGGAACCAGGGGCTTGAATTCTATCAGGATGTTCTTTGTCTTGACTCCTCCATCGTTTCTGCTTTATTCTCCATTCCCACTGAAGATCATTTTATATCACACAGAAAGGCTGGCTTGACTTTCTTGATCCCAAGTTTAAACATTCAGGGAAGGGTCTTACATAGACCAGTTTAGGCATAGTTTCCACTTCTGGCCCAGCTGATTTTGGCCAGGAGGGGGGTGATATTTGCCCAACAAATATTCATTGATCACTTATTACATGCCAGGCCTAGATAGTGAGTCAAAAAGGTAAGACCTCTGCCTGTATAAAAATTTACATCCTACAGGAAAAAGACACTAACTAAATAAGTAATTTTATAATACACAAAGAGCTGGTAGGTGCCATGGGGAATGAGAGTTTTAAATGCTTCTGAATTAAGAAGAGAACTTGGTAATAGAATTTGAATTTAGCAGTTATAAGATCATAGGTGACTTATTGTGGGTATTTTCAGTTATAAGATCATAGGTGACTTATTGTGGGTATTTTCAGTCTAGAAGTTTGGTTAGAAACAGATGGCAATGGTTTAAGAAATGAATGAACCAACAAACTATATATGTGTGCATACATATATATACATACGTAATATCACATATATATTCCTTTCAGTCTCTACTTTCTCCTTAAACTCTCGCCATCTGGTTCTATTACATAAATTATAAAATGTACATATTTTATGTTTGTTATAAATATACATAATTTCAGGGAGTTTGGTGAGGAAATAGAAGGAAATAGGAAGTAGCTAAAAATGGTAGTACCAAGGGTAGACTTTTGTTGCTGTTCATGCTGCTGCTGGTTTTATTTGAGGAATGATATTGATTGATCAGCTTATTGTAGGGAAGGAGCCAGATTGAACGTAGGTAAAGATATAGAAGAAAGATGGCATCTCCGAGGGTTTTTTTGGTCTGTGATTTAGGCCACTGGTAGAAATCGTGGCCTTAAAGAGGACAGAAGGAGAGAGCCCCATTCGTCAGAAACAGCCGTCAAGGAGGTAAAGGTCGGCACTCTAATAGATGTGTTTAGGTGGAGGAGTAGAGAGGGGAATGTGCTGCCATCCGGCGATCTCTATTTCATTATGAAGAAGGAGGAGCTAAAGATAAACATGGAGAGTTGGATGATGCAAGGAAATGAAGAAAGTGGTTAAGGTTTGAACAGCAATCTGAGGGAGTGTGGAAGCAGAGTAGGAATGAATGAAAGGGTTACTGATTATCAATGAGAGGTGTTGAGGTTAGCTGTTATAATGACCCTAATCTGACTTCTTGAATGGTTTTCTGAGAGCTGTCACCGGGAACAGAATTTGAGAGTGATTCATCTAGGTGTAGACTGCTCACACTTGCTGTGTTGGAAACAAAGGATGGAACATAAATGGAGCGTTGGAAAAAAATAGTTCTTGATTAAGAGGGGATTCTGGCTGGATACAGAAAGGAGGTGGGGAAGCTGATGGTCTGGGAGATGTGGGCAAGGATCAGAAGACTTGAATGAAATTGAACAGGCGAAGTGTAAGAAAAGGGAAAGGACTGATGGGTGTGGTTAGATACTTTTTGTAACAGGATTGCAATCATTCTTTGTGGTGATTCCCACTAGGGTGTAGTCTTTAGAGAGTGAGTGCTAAAGTAAAGCCGGAGAGAAAAGCTCATTGATACAGATGATACCTAGGGACTTGTGTGTTAGTTGGGCCATCCACCAAACACTGAACAAGCATGGTAGCCTGTGTAATAAACACATGGGTAGAAGAGGTTAACCATTGGGTGGGTAGGGGGAGAGGAGTCAGTTTTCAAAAATGAGCGGAGGGTCCTGGGCAGACAAAACAATACATATCCACACAGGCAATGGCTGATGTGTTTGTAACCCATTCAACAAATGTGTTCAGTGTAGAAAGTTGAGGCAAACTTGGACTAAAGTATCCAGTTTGGAAAAAAGCTTTCTGCCTATATTAAAGATTGATTGAGAATCATATGGTCAAGGTTATGGTACTAATAATAAGAGCAGATCATTTGGTTTTGTAATTGCTGCACTTTGTTAAGTTATTCCATTGCAAAGTCTTATCTCTTATGATAACATCACATTTTAATCAGAGTTACTTTTTAATTCTCCTGTTGGTATGAATAATTCAGCCCTGAAAAGTCACTCTAGTGGTATATTGAGTACAAATTATTTTAAAATAGTGCAGAAGTGTGTCTTAATTTATATAATAAATTTTGCTTACCACAGGGTAGGGAAGATTCTATAGTACAGACTGCTTGTCACTTCTATCTGGCAATGTGCTGGTTTTCTTCTTTTATTTTTTTGTACTAAAAATCTATGAAATAATATGGGGCATTAAAGAAGGATGATAATCTGAAAAAGTTTTTAAAGATTTTATTTATTTTTAGAGAGAAGGGGAGAGAGAGAGGGGGAGAGAAACATCAATTGGTTGCCTCTCACAAGTACTTCAGCCCCCAACCAGGGTCAGGCTGCAACCCAGGCCTGTGCCCTGACCAGCAATTGAACCAGCAACTTTGATTTGCAGGTCAAGGCTTAACCAACTGAGCCACACAGATCAGTGTCCTTCTGCAAATTTTGATGACAAGGGGATAAGTAAATTCCTGATTGAATTTTCTAATGAACTTGAAACTTGTCTTCTCCTTTCATCTTCCTTCATCTTCATCTTTATGGCCATTCTTTCTTCTTTCATTCACAAACTGTTAATCATTTGCTTCTAATAGTTCTCCACAGTTCATTCTGGATTTTGCTACCGAAATAATTTTTCTACATGGCTAAATGTCTCCCGTCACTTACAGAAAAAAGTCTTAGCTCCTTTGGCTGGTACCTAAAGCTTATTACGATCTACTCCTGCCTGACTTCAAACCTGATTCTTGACATTCTATACCACGCAGAATTATTTGCTGGTTCTCCAACCTGTGGAAAAGAAGCTGGATTGAAGTGCAGGTAAAGACATGGAAGAAAGACAGCATTTCCGAAGGTTTCTTTGGTCTGTGACTTAGGACCAGAGGAGAGACCTGGTTCCTCAGAAATAGTCTCTCATGTCCCCGCAGGCCTCTGCGCCTCGCCTGCGTGCCGTGCCATACCCGTCGTGCTCATCCTCTCCTTGTGAAGTTGGCTAATTTCTCTTTTCTTTCATGTCCAAGTTCAAGCATTATGTCCTCTGGGATGCTTTCTTTAACTCCCTTCTGTCTGTTGTCTTCCCTCCGGCTTCCACTTGTGTTCACACGCACCAGAGAGAGTATGTGAAGTTCATCGGGGTCCTCTGCAACTGGCAGCTGTGCCCCGCTTGGGAAAAGAATCCAAGATTTAATGCAGGCATACACACATTTTCTCATTGGCTTGGAATATGATAAATGTTTCCACCTTTGCTCCCAAATAATAAGCACTTACACATGATTCATCTTTTAAAGGCCACACTTAAACCTTTAACAATTTGTAGACATAAGCTTGTGGTAGGTGATGGTGGTGATGGTATGTATATTGAGAGGAGAGGATTGCTAATTGCAAGCACTGGAATTTTTGTTATGAAATTGGAATGGTTTACAAAATAATCAGAATCATTTTGTGAGATCAATTAAGTTGTGTTTTGTCATTCTCTTAGGAAATGCTAAATAAAAATATGAAATAGAATGCTACCATGCTTTTTATTGCCCCTTTCACTTAATTAACTTGTGAGTCTTCCCTCATTTATTTTATGATGGAAAGTCTCTTCTTAATAGACTCCAAAAGGACAACACAATATTGCCAGTTTTATGCATGCATGAGGAAGTGAATATTTCTATGAGCACATGATTTAATCCAGTTCATTGGTTATAAGTTTTACCTTTTAATGTGACATAAACATTAGTTTTGTGCCTATTTTAGTCACTAGCATAAAACTCTCTCTCTGGGTTTACAGTTTGTAGGAGAAATTGTCTCAAATAAAAATTGCGACTCTTGCAAATTGGAAATTACATGTTATCAGAGACACAAATGATTAAGTGCATTTTAAATTATCTCTCTTTCCCCTTCACTTTATGATTGGAATAATAATAGAGAGTGGTTTTTCGTACCTGTTAGCACTAAACTTTTATGATTTGAGACTAGTCACAAATCTGAAATTTCCCAAATGTTGAAAATAACTTAGGACCATATGTGAAGTCAGAATTGATATATTAATATGTTAGAAGAATTTATTTAGATTTAATACTGACTCTTGTTGAGGTATTAAGATTTATGAAAATTGGATTCCAGTGGAATGTCAGTTTATATTTTTTCATTTGTTTGGTAGATTCCATTAAAAAAAAGCATGTGTTCAAATAATGTATCCTAACCTTTGGAGGGTTATACATTAGAAATATCCATGAATAGGGAAATTCAAAATTATTATGCTGATGATAAGGCTTAAAAGGAGAATTTAATTTCTTTGAGCTTATTCAAGAATCAATTTATTTCAGAAAGGAACT